GAGAGAGAGAGAGAGAGAGAGAGAGAGAGAGAGAGAGAAGGGGGGATGGGAGTAGCTACCAACACAGGTGGAGTCCTCACTGGTCCGGACGATGGGGATCTGTCTTGTTGTGTTGGGGAGAGTCTCCAAAGTCCTACCTAACCCAGGAGTCCAGTTATAGTCCACAGAGGGAAAAGGAGGGAACAGGTAGAACAATGAGAGTCTATTGAAATTGCTGTGGGAGGAACAAGTGTATTTACAGAAAATCATCTAGGCTGAACAAACACAATAAAGAATAAGTCCATTGAAGTTACTGGAGAAGAACAGGTCAGGTCATTCTCCTCCCCCCCCTCCACTGTTTGTGGTAAGGGTCTCAGGCTCAGTCTTTGGGGAGAGGGTTCTTGATCTCCGTCTGTCACGGTGGTAGCAAGGCAGATGAGGGGTCTTCAGTGAGAGACCACCAGAGTCACCCCAACAGTTCATTCGGCTTAAGGGTGGAGAGTGAAGCAGGAATTGCAGTAGGCCGCTCGGTGCTGGGTCCACGCTGGGTCTTCATCAAGTCCTTGCCAACTCCTTGCCAAGTTCTTGCCGGGCCTCATTGGGAACAGCACGTAACGGTGCAGCAGCTGCACCTGCACTGTTGCCTTCTCCAAGCCGGAACCACAGAGGGGGAAGGGAAATCCTGCTCGTGGCAATCGGCAGGCAAATGAGTGAGGGTCTTCAGATGGCCTCTTACAGGCAGCCAGCACAGAAGGGCTCAGGAAGACTGTCAATGTTTTAACACTTCTCAGCAGTGACCGGTTGGTTTTAACTCCTGGTCAAAGACAGGGCTTGACTCTGCATTGGAAATTTATGATTCTGGGGATTTTTCCTCAGTGGAAAAATCTTTCTCTGCTGGGGAGAAAATCCTTCTGTGCTGCTGATCTTTAATTCAGAGAGGTGAAAACCAGCTTCAAATTAATTTTCTCTCTCAAGCTTGAAGGACCCTTGTTCTATCTGTTCAATCAGACACAGTCTGATGTTCCCACTGACTCCTGCCAGGGACTCTGTAGCATTTTTCCCCTCACTAAAACAGACCCCCATCCACTTCTGAAGCACCCCTACATCCAGTGTTGGACAAATACCTTTCCCTTTTCCTTTTCCTTTTCCTTACTTTTACAGAGAAGGTTGTTGGCATATAAACTCACGAGATCCCTATTTTCCCACTGCAGACACTGTTTTTCTCATCCATCACTACAGTTTTTGCTTTATTTTCCTGACCTTTCCCCTTACTGCAGGTTTCCTCCACCTTCCCTGCATCCCACAGCACATCTCTGCTCTCCCACCCAGACTGGGACATTCTTTCTCCTCTTGTTTAGGAGGGTGGACATGCAGAGTGATTTTGCTGATGTAAGTGAAGGGTGACCCTGCAAAGGGTGTGGGGAGAGACCCACGTGCACTCACGTGCAGGCAGCGTCAGGTCGCGGGGGCACCAAGCTGGATGGTACCTCTGATCCCAGCCTGTGAAGGCACTGTCACTCCTTGGGAAGGGGGATACTGGCTTAGACTGGTCTGGATGGGGCACACTGTGGCCCAGACAGGTCTCGCTTAGCTGGGCAGATCCTGGGGTGAACAAACAGCTGCTGCCAAAGCCAGGCGTGACCTTTCAGAGGCAGGAGAAACTCCCTGCCCAGGGCAGTGAGGCTGAGGTGCCAGGAATCAGCACAGACCACCCATGTAGCAGAGACCCAGCTTTGCCACTAACTCAGCCTTTGATCCTGAGCAACTTGCAGAAACAAGAAGGTCCATTAGTGGAGGTCCCAGCACTCAATGGATCCAATCATGGCCATAAGTAGATGCACTTTTTAATGCCTGCTGTCTTCCAGGCCCCAGGCTGGTTAATCTGCATTAGTAAAGTGTTACCTGATGCCGAGATTAAAGCAAAATTCATTTTATTAAATACATGAGCTTGGTGAAGTGAGCTCTGGGGGGTGAAGTCTGGTATGTGACTGTGGCATTTCTTGGGAAAAGATGAGGATGGAGAGAGGATTTGGTCCTCCCAGGACACACAGAGCAAACCCGGCTTCACCCTGGCTGCGGGTGTGGTCTCACTGGTGGCCATGGAGGGGAGCAGGGAGATGAGGGCCTCAGGGGTGGTGCTGCTGGTGGGGAGGTCAGCGCAGAGCCGCCTCACCGTGTCCCACCACCCACAGGGTCCGAGAACGAGGTGACGCAGGTGAACCGGTGTCTGGATGCCGCCAAAGCCTGCAACGTGGATGAGATGTGCCAGCGGCTGAGGACGGAGTACGTCTCCCTCTGCATCCGTCGCCTGGCCCGGGCTGACACCTGCAACCGCTCCAAGTGCCACAAGGCCCTGCGCAAGTTCTTCGACCGCGTGCCCCCGGAGTACACCCATGAGCTGCTCTTCTGCCCCTGCGAGGACACCGCCTGCGCCGAGCGCCGCCGCCAGACCATCGTGCCCGCCTGCTCCTACGAGTCCAAGGACAAGCCCAACTGCCTGGCGCCTCTGGATGCCTGCCGGGAAAACTACGTCTGCAGGTGATGCCCACAGCAGGGCCGGTCCCCAGGGAGAGCCCCTCAGACCAGGGCCTGGTGACAGCCCTGAGCCGCTGCCATCACCCACAGGGTGATCCTGGGGCACCATCCCTGTGTCCTGGGGGATTTCCCTTGGACCAGAGCCTGGTGAGATCCCTGAGCCACTGCCATCACCTGCAGGGTGATCCTGGGGCCCCGTCCCCCCACAGCCTGCTGGCACGCTGTGCGCGGTGACCCTGCCCATGGGCCCTGTCCCTGTGTCCTACAGAGCGTGTTCACAGACAGAAGGAGATGTGACCTGATCACGCTGAAGCTTTTTAGGCATTTTCTATGGATTTTTGGCTCTGGTTCTAGAGGAAGACCCGTTATGGAAACAGTTCCAGGAAGGTACAGGCTAAGCAGGAATGTGGGGGAGGGGTCCTTGCAGCCACTTTCACCAATACATCTCCCTCACTGTTCCTCTTCCCCAGCCCAGAGCATCCTCAAGGAGCGCTCAAGGTATCCTGACAGCCACAAGCACTTGTGAAGGCCTTAAAACTATGTTTGTTTGCTTGTTTAATTAGAAAAAATAATCAACATACGTAAAAACATCTATCCTTCTGCTATGAGGCTGAGTGTTGGAGAGACCTTATAGCACCTTCTAATACCTAAAAGAAGACAGCAAGAGAGCAGGAGAGAGATTTTGGACAACAGCAAGGAGTGGCAGGACAAGGGGGAATGGCTGGAAACTGAAGGACGGTAGACTTAGATGGGCTGTTGAGAAGGAATTCCTGGCTGGGAGGGTGTGAGGCCCAGCAGCTCACAGTGCTGGGCACAGGGTTCAGTGTGAGGCACAGGGTGCCCAGAGCAGCTGTGGCTGCCCCTGGATCCCTGAAAGTGTCCCAGGCCAGGCTGGACAGGGCTGGGAGCAGCCTGGGACAGTGGAAGGTGTCCCTGCCAGGACAGGGGGTGGAATGAGATGATTTTTAGGTCTTTTCCAACCCAAACCATTTGAGATTCTGTGAGTCTATGTTTTGGTGATTGCACCAGGAGTCTCAGAGTCCCAGTGTCATTCCAGATCTACCGCACAGTCTGTGGCCAGCCTGGCTTGCTCTTCTGTTTCCATCCAGCCCAAATCACACACTCACAGACCCATCCCATGTGCACACTAACAGCAGAGCCCATTCAGTGCTTTACCTTCATCTGCACTATTTTCTCCTCCCCATTTCTGAAAAAGTCTTTGATATTCCAGAAGGTTAATGCACACAGAGCTCTCGGGAGCGGAGCCCAGCTGGCAGTGAGAGATGTAAGGCAATAACAGCACCACGGGGCCCCAGCCCAGTGCCCTGTGTGCAGCTGGGCCGTGAGCAGACACCTGGGGAAGAGCACAAGAACAACTGTAGGACACACCTCCCTGTACTGTCTCAGTCTCTAATTGCTGTGGGGTTTGGGACTTCCTGAGCTGAACTTCCAGCAGCCATCCCCTACCAGCACAGCATCTTTTAATTACAATAAAAATATTATCTGCTTTCACAAAGGAAGGTGAGAGCAGCGGCATCCTCTTGGAAGCGTGAAAGTACAAATACCCTCAGCACTCTGCACCCCAGAAACGTGGAGGCAGGAGAACGACTGAACTGTGCAGAAGTAGACTCTGAAAGATGCAAAGACCTTGGGCTGACCAGGCCCTGCTCAGATTTTGTCCCCTGGCTACCCAGGGAATCCAAAATGGACAGGTACCGCCCTGCCTCTAATGTGACAAGAGGGCCCAGTGGGGACAAAGAGGTTCAAAGGGGAGAGTGTTATCCCCAGGAGACTGGAAACTATTTCCTGCAAGCAGCACAGCTGTTAATTATCTGGTCCCTTGGTCTCTGAATATACAATATAAAATATCCTCTAGAGACACAGAGGGAGCAAAAGGTTGACATGTGACCTGGTCAAAGGCAGCAGTGCAGAATCCACAAGGAGAGCCAGGAATAAATCATACAGAAATGGAATGAAACACTCCAAGTCTCACCCTGTCTGCACTGCAGCTCCTGCACAGATCTAGCCCTTTGAACTCCCCAGCTCAGAGAGGTGGGTTCTACTAATATGGATTATATAAACTCTGCATTCACTATCGCTCTTCTCTAAATCTCCAAACAATGCAGCAAGTTTTGGGAAAGAAGATTTTGCCTGTCCATGTTACAGGACAAAAGGGTTGATAAGGGGCAAATATGGGAACAAAGATGAGAAAAAAAAGAATGGTGTAGGGAAGAAGTGGGCTGGAAAGTGCAAGCTGGAATGCTGACACTGACAGGAGCAAGAGCAATGTGTCTGGAAGAGAGGGAATGTCTGGGAGGAGCAACATGCTCAGTTTTTCTGAGATTTCCCAGGCAGGGTAAACATTTGAGGTTCTCAGTTCTCAGCTCAGACAGTGCAGGCTGTCACCTAAAGAACCCTCCCTTCAGGTGTTGTCAGTGCTGGTGCTTGCTTGAGTTTCTGAAGCAGCTCAAATGCCAGCTCACATCCCTTCCTGCCTGGCCATGGAATGAATGTTGAGATGGATCTGGAGCTCCAGCTGTTACTGTGTCCTGCTTGAAAGCCTTGTGTTGATGGCTCAGATATCCTATGAACTCCAAACGCCACCATGTGCCAAGAGCTGACTCATGCCTCAAGAGTTTGGTGGCAGATAACTTGTTGGCAGAATGATTTGCCTGCTCCACAGGCTCCAGGGAGTCCTTCTCCTGAGAATGGGCATCTGCAGCAGAGGATGGGCAGCAGCCCTGGTGATGGGTAGGATATTTCATGTCTGAACCTCTGGACATTTCCCTTGATCAGAGGTGACCTCAGCTGTATTTAGAGTCTTTAGAGACAAGAGCAATGCTCTGTTTCATCAAATCAGATTAAAAATGAAAGCTGGGGTCTTTAGGCAAAGTTATTACCCAAAAGATAGAAAATGGCAACATAGACTGATTTCCTTCCTGGCAACAGCTCTTCCCTCAAAAACCAACCTCACACAAAAGAAAGCAAACATTTCTTCCAAGACTTGACTTATCTTGCAGTCCTGGAGGAAGCCTGTATAACATTGACTGCAGAACCTGTTCAGAACCTCCTCCTGGGTTTGTTGGGGTAGGCAGGAGATTGTGAAAGGACACCTGTTTGAAGAACACCTACGGCACCATTCTGCAGACCTGTTCCCCTCTGTGAACACCACGATTGTGTTGATGCATCCCCTTTTGCCGCAGTTACCTGAGGTGACAAGTCCCGTTCTGTGCTCTGGCTCCATCAGGTCGCGCTACGCAGAGTTCCAGTTCAACTGCCAGCCGTCACCGCAGGCGGCCAGCGGCTGCCGCAGGGACAGCTACGCCGCCTGTCTGCTGGCCTACACCGGCATCATCGGTAAGGGGGGCCTCCTGCCCGGGCTCCCACCCAGCCTGGCAGGGAAACATCTCCTCAGGGTGGGAAACATCTCCTCTGGGTGGGAAACATCTCCTTTGGGTGGGAAACCTCTCCTCTGGGTGGGAAATGTCTCCTCTGGGTGGGAAAGAAACCTCTCCTCAGGGTGGGAAACATCTCCTCTGGGTGGGAAACATCTCCTCAGGGTGGGAAATGTCTCCTCTGTGTGGGAAACCTCTCCTCTGGGTGGGAAACCTCTCCTCTTACTCTGGCTATGAGGACAGTAAGGTGGAGAGCTGAACTCTCTGGGACATCACAGAGTCATGGAATGGTTTAGGTTGCAAGGGACCTGTAAAACCCATCTCATTCCAGCCCTCTGCCATGGGCAGGGACACCTTTCACCAGACCAAGTTGCTCCAAGCCACATCCAACCTGGTGCTGGTCTTTCTCCCTTCAGTGACATGACTAAGCCTTGGGCATGGGGTAACTTTAGGATGGCTTCAGTGGAGGGAGGAAAACCATGGGCTACTGCAAGAGCCGAGCTTCTCTCTCTGGTGGAAATAGAGGGGCTGTCCCAGCATGTCTGCTCTGCCAGGGATTCCCTGATGCCATCACCAGCGATGCCACTGAAAATCACCATGCACTGCCATTTTTCCAACTTCACAGGGTGTCAGATTGGGGTTTCAGATGCTGCAGAGCCCAGCTGGCAGCACTGGCACAGACACAGACAAGAGTCCAGAGAGAAGTGCCCGTGGCCTTTGGACAAGGTCTGTCCTGATAGATGAGGCAGACTGACATTTTTGGGCCAACATTTCATTTCATTTTAAACCTTCATTCTGGAGATTGAGATTGGCTTTTTAATGACAGCATGAAAACCTTTATACACATTCACATGCAGTTTTTGAATGCTCAGCCTGGAGAATAAAAGGCTTCAAGAAGACCTTAGAGTCCCCCACCACGAGGGCCTAAAGTGGCTCCAAGAGAGTTGAAGGGACTTCAGACAAGAGCCTGGAGTGCCAGGACAAGAGGGAATGGCTTCCCACTGCCAGAGGGCAGGATCAGATGGGATATTGGGAAGGAATTCCTGGCTGTGAGGGTGCTGAGGCCCTGGCACAGGGTGCCCAGAGCAGTGTCCAAGGCTGGGCTGGATGGGGCTTGGAGCAGCCTGGGACAGTGGAAGGTGCCCCTGCCATGGCAGAGGGTGGGACTGGATGGGCTTTAAGGTGCCTTCCAACCCAAATCATTCCATTATTCTCTGAATGTTACTAGGGGACCTGAATTCCCAGAAACTGCCCATTCCTTGGACTGATAGCACTTTTTAATTGACTGAAGGCTTTGTTGATGGTGACGTGACCAAAAGGGTTGTGACTGCTCCTCTTCTCTTCCCTGGGAGCAAATCAGGCCCATGACATCAGCACTTGAAGGGTTTTGCTGCTGTCATGGAGGGGCTTGGCTGAGGCAGAGTAACCCAGGAGAGCGGCACGAGGGGATGTCACTGACCCTTCCTGGAGTCCCTGCCCTGCAGTAACACTTGTCCGTCGATCCCGGCAGGCAGCCCCATCACCCCCAACTACATTGACAACTCAACCTCCAGCATCGCTCCCTGGTGCACCTGCAACGCCAGCGGGAACCGGCAGGACGAGTGCGAGAGCTTCCTGCACCTCTTCACCAACAACGTCTGTCTCCGTAAGTGGCACTGCTGCACGTTGGGAAGCCTTCTTGTGCACGGGGACGTGGAGGTGCCATGCTGCTCTGGGTCTGGAGGTGTCCAGCTCCCTGTATTACCAACAAAGGAGCTCCCAAGAGCCTCGGGCATCCATTTGGGTGATGCAGAGAAAGAGGCTGGGAAAGGGAGGCTTCCCCCTGCCCTGACAACCTTTTTCTCCGTCTTCCCCATACCAAGAAAATGCCATTCAGGCCTTTGGCAATGGGACTCACCTGAACACAGCCGTGGGCCCGTCCGTCCCCCCCACCACACAGATGTACAAGCAGGAGAGAAATGCCAACAGAGCTGTGGCGACCCTCAGAGAGAACAGCTTGGAGCACCTCCAGCCCACCAAGGTAGGAGAGGGCAGGCCTGGCCCAGAGAGATGATCGGCCATGTCTGTGCCTCCTGCAGCCTCCTCACCTCAACTCCTTCTTCCACTTGTGTCATTTCAGTCACATTCAGGCATCCAGCCTACCTTCCACTTCCCTGAGGCCTAATCTTCCTTCCCTTCCCTTCCCTTCCCTTCCCTTCCCTTCCCTTCCCTTCCCTTCCCTTCCCTTCCCTTCCCTTCCCTTCCCATTATTCAGAAATGTGTTTCATTTACAAGTACTGGGAAATCCATGGGGTTTTCACCCAGGACCACTGGCTTGGCTCCTCACCATCCTTCAGAGCATCAGTTCAGCTTCAGACAAGCATTTCAACTTCCCAGGACACAAGTTCCTCCCTTGTTAGATGAGGATTCTAGAGTTCATAATGCAGAGGTTTAAGGTTTGCTAAGCATTGGAAAATTTGAAAGAAAATGTTCTGTTCATAGTAAATTATTACTATAAAAATAATATTAAATTGAAATTATTTTAAAACAAATAACATGTTCATTTACTGATGATGGCTGTGATAGGTATTAAATATTTTACTTTTAAATAAAGCAAAATGACCTTGAGTTGCCACACCAGAGTAATTTTCAGATTCAATTATTTTCCTATTGAATAATTAACAGTGACCCTGATTTGCTGAACGTTCAGGTTACAGAAGCTGTCAGTTTTAACTAGACTCCAAGGACTGAGCGTGGGCTTTGCACTGGGCTGACTGATACCTTCCAAGTGGGGGTTATTTTAAGGCTTATCACTGTTTTTTAGCTGGGAAAACACCTGATTCGCCACTCTCCACCCTGTTTTCACAGAGTAGCAGGCTGGGAGGTGGAGAAAAGTGGCTTCAGGGTTCCTCACTGCTCTCCAGGGCACTGGTGGCACTGTTGAAGGGGACACCTTCACCAGGCCATAAGCGTGGCACCCAACAGGTCTGGAGGGCTTCCCTTCAGCTGGCGCTCCCCATATCTTAGAGAGATCCAAGTCGTGGCCTCAGGTCCAGACCTAGCACTGAGAACTTCATTCTGGAAGAGAAGGAGAAGCTGTGAACTGTGTGACCAGGACAGGATTCCCAGCAGCAAGTGGGAAGCTGGAAAATGCAGCTGCAGTAGAGGATGGCCCTGCCACATCTCCAAGCTCCTTGTGGCAGCAGCACATCCCTCCTCTGAGGTGTGAGTGCTGCTGGATCGTGGTCCCTGCTGGAAACTAGAGATCTGGGTCTTGGCTTTGAACTCAGCTTCAAATTCAGATCCTGTTCAACCTTTAATGAGGTTGGCACCTCTGGGCCTGAGGGGGAAAGTTGGTGAAATGTGTCCCAGCACCATGGAGGTATATTCCACACCCACCTTTATGGTCACCAGGTGAAACCACTGGCCAGCAGTGGTTCCGTAAGATTCATGGATGGCCACTGACCTGAGAGGGCATCCAGGCTCCAGGCACCCACCTCGCACACACACCTCCAGCCAGTGCCCAAACAAGTGCTGTGCTCACGAATTACTCTCCTGCTGTGACACCACCTTCACCAGCGTCTCCTGAAGAGCTGCACTGACCTCCAAGCCGGAGTTTGGGTGCTGAAATCAGCCCTGGTCCCTCTGCACATGCACACACTTGGGGCTGCACAGCCCCGAGCCCCAAATGCTCTGAGGCATCAAGGAGGGACACCAGTATGTTTAGAGAGATAGAGTCCCTCTCCTATGAGGAGAAATAGAGAATTGGAATTGTTCATCATGAAGAAGTTCAGGGTGACCTAATTGTAACCTTCCAGTGCCTGAAGGGGCTCCAAGAGAGCTGGAGAGGGACTGGGGACAAGGGCTAGAATGCTAGAACAAGGGGAATGGTGCCAGAGGGCAGGGTTAGAGGGATATTGGGACTAAATTCTTGGCTGTGAGGGTGGGGAGATCCTAGCACAGGGTGCCCAGAGGAGCTGTGGCTGCCCTGGGAAGCTGTTCCAGGCCAGATTGGACAGGGCTTGGGGCAACCTGGGATACTGGAAGGTGTCCCTGCCCATGGTAGGGGGTTAGAATTGGATGGTCTTTAAGGTCCCTTCCAACATAAACCATTTCATGATTGCAGGATCATGACAGCTCTCACCCCACGCTGTCTCCTTTCTCTTTCAGGTGGCTGGAGAGGAGAGGCTCCTGCGTGGCTCCACTCGTTTGTCCTCAGGGACCTCCAGCCCAGCAGCCCCTCCCTGCTGGGCAGCCTCTCTGCTGCAGATGTGGCTTCTCCTCGCCCCTGCTGTGCTGAGCCTCCCTGTGATGTGAGACAGGGCTGGCACACACCAGGCAGAGACTCGAGTTGTGTTGGTTTCTTTACTGAACAACCAGACCAGTAACTTTTTCAGGAGGAGAGCAGGGAGAAGAGAGGGGAAGGGAAGGCAAGCTGAGTGTTTGAGCATCCCTTCCTCCTCCTCATCTGCCTGCCAGTTTATTTGATTTTATATGATCAGCATTGTTGACAACCAGCTCATTCTTGGTCCTGGCCACCTTTCCACACCACAGCTTGGTTGTTGTTTCTCCAGCTCTCCATGGTTAGGGCTGAAGCCATGGACAATTCCCTTGGAAAAGATGAAGGAGAGATTTGATCCAAGAGAGCTGCAAAGGAAATGCTTCTTCCTGCCCCAGCCAACAGGGGAAAGACTTTTGATGGATGGATGACCTGTCAGGAGGTTTCCTGAAGCCCACACTGAGGGGCCCTTGATAGGACACGTGGAGTTCAGACTGTCTGCATGGTTGCTCAGGACCTGAAGGACAACACACCTGGTTCCTTCAGGCTGAAGAAACCAGAAAACTGGTGGGAAGGTGGTTGGTTTTGTTCACTGGAGAGGAACCTGAAGCACCTCTGGGGAGGACCAAGTAACCACACTCTGAACTGACTGGCAGGGATTATCCGCCCTCTCAAAACCATGGCCAGAGTGCAACCAGCATCCACATCCCAGCTGTCACCTCCCCTCGGGCCCTCCTTCTTACGGGAACCTGTGTCCTGTATCGACGGTATTCAGGAAGAAACACGTGTGTTGCATTTTGTTTATGGCTGAATTTTTTGTGTCCCAACCCAAACATCTCTATCCACTGGTCCTGCTCAGTGTTTTGGGGCATTTTTGTCACATCCAAACAACCAGAGGCCAATATTGTCCCACTCCAGGCTACCCTTTCTCTGTCAGGGCCAGTGTGTGAGCCCATGGGCAGTGTTTGATGTGAGCCTAACACATCCCACTCTCACCTGCTACTTGTTCATCCACTGGTCTCATAGGCACAGGGTCTCCAGCCAAGGTATTTTGTTCATTTTCCTGGGAAGAGATAGGATGGGAGAGGTTTGCTAGAAACCACCCTGAAGGCAGAAATACCCAGCCAAGAAACACCACGTCATGAATTATATCATGGATTGCTACAGATTCCCCTCCCTGAAAAACTGACAGAGGCAACCACCTGTGTCCAGGTGAGCAGGTCACGGGGTTTGCCTCTGGCCAGTTTCTGTTTTTTCAGTGCAAGTGTCATTTAAGCAAGGGCTGCTGAAGTGACCCTCTCTTCCTAGCCAGAGCCCAGGGGAGGAAAGTGAGGATCATTGTCCCTCCAGTATCTTGGGGCACAGGGAGGCAGGTCTGTGACCCTGGACTACCTGAGCATCCCAGGGTCTTTCCTCGAGGAGGAGAGCTGAGGAGTCCCAGTGCCCTCTTGCGGGACTGAGCCCCTTTACTAAAGCCAGGATGGAAGATGTAAGGAAGAGTGAGGTTTCCCAGGATAAATGCTTACCCAGGCTGAGTGCCATGGGAGGAAGAGCAATAGCTCCAGAATCCCCCTGAGTGTATTTAGGCCTGGCCTTTGCAGGAGTCCATTTATTCCTTGGTTTGTGCTCCTCCAATAAATACCATTAATTCCTTGGCATTTGAATGAATGGAAAGGCTTAGGAAGCATCAGACACAGCAAAGTCCATTGCTTTTTATTCCCATTTCCTGCAAAACCTCTCCCATTGTTTATTGCTTCAGATTTTCTGAGAAACTGCAGCAATTTCCTTGGCTTTTGTTCCAACAAGAAACCACTCTGGCTTTCAGCTGAACACCTGTGGATGTGTCTGACATGAACAGAAATCCTCCTGCTGCATCCTGTCCAAAGTGCTGCTCCCTGAGGCCCTCAGGGCTGTAGCACCCGGGTTTCCTGATCCAGGGCTGTGCACGGAACCCACCGAGTTCCAAGGCTTGTGTGCAGGGTGAGGAGTCACAGCCTGGGCTAAAAGCTGTGTGTGAGAACTTGGTGACCAAGGGGCTCACTCCAACCAGGCAAGGGGACAGGAGGGAGAGCTGCAGGCAGGAAAGCCCTTTCAAAGTGACTCCACACATGCACAGAGCTGCTGTGAACATCTCCCCTTTGTCCAGGACAGCAGTGTCCCTGAGAGCAAGTGACCCAAAGCTTGAGTCCTCGGAGCTGCAGGTGAAGAGGGATGAAACCCTGACTGCTCAGCCCTTCAAAGGCAAGGAACTACCTCAGCACCACGGGGTCATGCTGGGAATTGCATTCTTCTGCCCCTTTCCTTTCCAGTCCCGCAGCCATGCTCTGCTTTTCACACATCTGGCCCCATCTAACCACCAGCTTTCAGTTGTGCACAGGGTGGGGACACAAGTGTCAGCTGCTTTCCAGGAGCACCCACGCCTGTGTCTCTCATATGTCAGTGTCAGTGATGCTGAAGTGCCACTTGGCCATTTCCTTCTCATTCAGCAGAGAAAGAGTTTTTCTGGGTGGCCAGCATGCCTGGCAGCCCCACCTCACCTCTCCCTTCAGACTGGTATGCTGTAGAAAGAGGTGTGGAGAATCCTGCTCAAGGACTGGATGGGATGGAGGAGACCTCCAGAGGTTACCTCATCCCAGCACCATGTCCCACATCAGCCCCTGCTTTAAGGATTTCAGTGCAACATCATCATCTCCCCTGGATTTATATCATGGGGTCATGAAATGAGTCAGGTGGGACCTTACAGCTCATCTCCTTCCAGCCCCTGCCATGAGCAGGGACACTTCCATCAGACCAGGCTTCCCAAGCCCCATCCAGCCTGGCCTTGGACACTGCCAGAGCTGTCTTGCTTCAAAGGCTCTGCAGATGTGAGTTGTCTCAGGCATCAGAGCCCAGCCAGATCCTCAGTTCCCGTGTCCCGTCCTCCAAGCCCTGTCCCAGGCCAGGTTCTGCCCTCCTGGGGGTTCCTTGGGTTCAGGAATGCTTTGGGATGAAATGGATGAGGCACAGGGCAAGGAGCCTCTCATCCACAGGAAAGAGCTGGGGAGTGGGAATTAACAAAAAAAAATTATCCCAAAACTTTCATGGCTTTATTCTGATTATTTTACTATTTTCACCAGTATTTAATGTTGATTCTCCCTCCAAGCCCGTTCATGAATCAAACTTTGCAAAAAATTATGACTTTTGAACCTTTCTTTTGGAGGAAGCAAACATGATTACTCTCTTCCCACCCACCAACATGTGTGCACAGACCACTGCTTTTTCCTTGTGAAAAGTCAGTAATTTTTTTGGATGAAATTCCACCTCTGCTGATTTCTGTGAAGTGAACTATGGATCTTCATTTTTAAGTCTCTTGATTAACCACAGAAGTCATAGCAGCTGCTTGGAAAGGCAAAAGACTGAGCAAGCCAAGACACAGAAAGAGAGACAATTTTTTTTTAGGAATTGCTCCATTCCTGACAACTTCCATAAGCACAAAGAATCATGGGAAAAAGAAAGGGAAAAATCACATTTAAAGAACCAGCCAGACTTTCTGCAGGCACTGAACTGTAATTTTTTGGCTGCACAGCACTATTCCCAGTGACTGGCAGCCCTGAGAGCCTGTGAAATTTTGTGTATGTACTTATACCTGTCATGTCACATCATGTCCAGCATTGTCCAGGTGGGAGCAGGAGCTGGGAGGGAGACCCAGGGCTGGGAGATGGTGCTGGAGCAGGAACCCCATGTGCGCCCCTGCTCGAGGGGAGGGTGGTGGGTGCCAGCCCAAACTGGGGCCAAACTTGTACTTACCTTTTCTGTACATGTCAATATTCAAACATATCCATGAATAAAGCACACACGCATTTTCCTGACCCCTCGTTCCTGCCTGCTGTGCCAGCTTGTCCCTGTCAGCACGTCCTGGGTGGTGCTGAGCTCTACTCCTCTGCTGGAAGGGCAGCTGGAAGAACCTGGGGGATGTTCTCTGGGGCTCACATGAGCCATGCTTGGCTGGAACCATGGAATCCTAGAATATCCTCAGCTGGAAGGGACCCACAGGGATCATCAAATCCAGCCCCTGTCCCTGCCCAAACCCCCAAAATCCCACCCTGGGCATCCCTGGAGTGCTGTCCAAAGACTCCTGGAGATCTGGCAGACTCGGGGCCGTGTCCATTCCCTGGGGAGCCTGGGCAGTGCCAGCACCTCTGGGGGAAGAACCTTTCCCTAAAATCCAACCTAAACCTGCCCTGGCCCAGCTAGCTCCAGTTGTTCACTCAGGTCTTGTCCCTGGTCTCGGAGAGCAGAGACTGGAGCTGTCCCTGGCAGGAGCTGCAGACAGCTCTGAGGGCTGCTCTCGGCCCCAAACCCAGCCCCAAACCCAGCCCCAAACCCAGCTCCTCCCAACCCCAAACCCAGCCCCAAACACAGCTCCAAACACAGCCCCTTTTTCCCTCCCCACAGCACCCAGGCTGGGCTTTGTTGGCTCAAAGGACAATTCCTGGGAGGTTGCAGCCAGCTGAACATGAAGGATGCTGTGGAAGCCTTGCAGGTCTGAGGGATTTTCCCTGGCTCTTGGCAGCTGCTCGCCTGAGGTCAGCACCCAAAACTGGGGGGCAGTCCAGGGCCACAGGGTGGGGTGGAGGAGCTGGGGGGGCTCAGGGGTCCTGGCATTCACGGGGCTCTCAGAACTCCCCAGTGAGACTGCCCCAGGTTCTGCACAGGGACAGCACGTGGGGCTCAGCTCAGGGGCTGCCTGCAGCAGCCCTGCTCTGGGATGGAGCCACTGGCTCCAAGGAAGCCTGCAAATCGTCCTAAATTTAGGGCAAAGAGATTCTGGAGCAGGAGAAGCACTAATAGCTGGAAGAAGCTTGGGCTGACCCTCAGTTCTACCCCATCTCTGGGTCTGGGTATGGTTTTGGGGGTGCTGGCTGTACCCACAACAGAACTGAGCTCCACTCCCTCCTACAGCCACAGAAATTCAACACTGAGGAAAGAGCACAGGAAGGGATTTTTCCACGTTCCCAGAGAAAAGGTCTTACCTTTTCTTACCTGTGCAGCCTCCAGGACAGGATGGACAGAGCTTGGAGCAGTCTGGTCTAGTGGAAGGTGTCCCTGCCCATGGCAGGGGCTTGGACCAGATGTGTCTAAAGTCCCTTCCAGCCCAAACCATTCCATGTTTCCATGGCACACCAGAGCCTGGGGCAGCACAGCAGGTTGGAAGGAGAGACCTGCAGAGAGGATCCACAGTCCCCATCACAGCACAAGTTAAATCCTGCAGCTGATGTTCAGCTGCTGCAAGGGGATGTTGAAATCAGAAACAACGATTTACCACACGTTATCTCCAAGCAAACAGTGCTAAAATGCTGATAGGGATGGAGACGTTTTGCTTCGGTTACTAAAACACTGAATTTCTGCAAAAATAGTGGATATTTGCCAAAGGGAAAAGCTGCAGAATTAGCTCTGACATGAAAAATGTTCAAGTTGTTTTGTAGGGTTTTTTTCTAAGGGGAAGTGGAAATGATTTCTGGTGGGAGCAAGGATCCCAGGGAACATGTCAATGGAAATCCTGTCAGTCACTCTGTTGTAGGCACATTGTGGCTGCAGCCTGGAGAGCAGAGCTGATAGAACAGCAGGTGGGATGGATGGATGGATGGATGGATGGATGGATGGATGGATGGATGGATGGATGGATGGATGGATGGATGGATGGATGGATGCATGGATGGATGGATGGATGGATGGATGGATGGATGGATGCATGGATGGATGGATGGATGGATGGATGGATGGATGGATGCATGGATGGATGCATGGATGGATGCATGGATGGATGGATGCATGGATGGATGCATGGATGGATGCATGGATGGAGACACCAGACATGTCCAAGCTCTGCTCCAATTCCCCATCCCCATTCATGGTCAGATACCACAGTCCAGGCCTACCCACTGAATTTCTACTTCCAAACTGAATTCAGGGATCAGCATGAGGACCAAGAGAGATTAAATCCCATCTTCCCATGGCATTGCTGGTCACCATGGATGGGGGCAGATCAGAAACAGCCCCTGCCTTCACAGGCTCATGGAGCTGCACCTGTGCTTCTTGTCAGCAGCAGGGAAACAAAGAGGGGAAAGGTGCTGTCCTTCTTGGTAGAGCCAGAGTGGCCCAGTCAGTGTTTTTTTGGCTAAATTCCCTGCAGATGTAGTTTCTGAGTGATGCATGTGGCCCAGGAACACAGAGAAGAGGGGAAAGGAAGGCCCTTATCCTGCAGCTGATCAAAGAATCATGGGATAGTTTGAGTTGGAAGGGGCTGTGAAGACCATCTAATTCCACACCCTGCCGTGGCAGGGACACCTCCCACTGTCCCAGGTGCTCCAAGCCTCAATGTCCAACCTGGCCTTGGATGCTACCAGGAGTCCAGGGGCAGCCACAGCTGCTCTGGGCACCCTGTGCCAGGGTCTTACACTCTCACAGGGAAGAATTTATTCCCAATATCCCATCCATCCCTGCCTTGTGGCAGTTGGAAGCCATTCCCCCTTGTCCCAACCCTACATGCCAATGAAAAACATCCCATTTCAATGCAGTTTGAACCCTGAGATCTTGTTCTTTCTTTGTGGGGAAGATTTGTCTCTTCTGAGACATCTCTAGTGCAGATCCCAAATCCCAGGATTTTCACTGAGTCTCAGGAGTCACCAAGGAGAAGAGGTGCCTTTAGGACATCCTGTACCTTAGCTCAGAGCTTCCACAGGGTGACAGTGGTGTCCCAAACTCCCGTGGCCAAGGGTGTTGGGACTCTGACACTGTCTGGGGATGTGTTGCTGTTCCCAGCCACCCTGCAATGGGGAATGTGAGGAGCTCAACCCACCTCCAGTGATGCTGACACCTGGGTCCACCAGCCAGAAAAATCATCAACAGGTGTTGTCACCTCATTAGAAAATCTCCCCCCACCTTATGCCTTTGGCAAGATCTCAGTGCTACCACTCTGTCCCTGCAATGCCTGCCTTGCTGCTTGATTAGTTCAAAAACCAAAACCCCAGGAAGAAATTAAAGAACCTGCTAATTCTTTTTTCCCAAATGGTAATTGGCTATGGAACTCTGGCTCTTTTGTACACCTCTCTTCCTCCTCTCTTCCCATCAATGGGGAAAAAAGGAAATGTTGATGTTTCTGCCATGTTGGAGATTATTTACCACCAACCAGCCATGTGGAACTACCCAAGAGCTGCCCCAAACCTCACCTTTTCCTGGGTGGAAGAAACACCACCCAGCCTCCACTCCAGGATTTCTGGGAGAGTTAAACTGGTTTTTAAAAAGACTTAAAGTCCCTTCTTGCTGTGGGTGGTTGATATTTAAGGTTTGTGGAAAGAAAAGCTGGACCTCAAATTCCTCTCTAGCTCCTTACCCAAAACTGTTCATTAATGACAGCTGATAACAAAGACCATCATTCTGGATGGACACAAAGCCTTGGAAAACCTCCATGCTCTCTTCCCTTCCAGCCCCTTTTCTTTGCTACAATACAAGAAAAATCAGAGCAGGGATGAAAAATGGCTCCAGCCCTCCGGGGCTTTTCCTGCTGTCCAAAATAAATTTAAAGCAGCTCTAAAACCACTACCCCCTGCTCATTTCATTTCAAGTCTGGACACCCCATGCTGTGCTGTCAGCCTGGCATCCTCTGCTCAGCTCTGCAGCAATTGCTGGAATTGGGCTCCTGCATCCCAGTTTAATGCCATGGAATGAAGCAGCACAACAGCCTTCGGAGGCGACTGTGGCTGAAACCCTCATGGCTCATAAATGTCAGGTTCAACTCTGCTTCATCCCAGCAGTGCTTAATTCCAAAGTTGGAGAGTGACATAAAAATAAATGGAGAACAGCGGATTGCGTCCCGGCAGGACTGGAACCATGGATTTCTGGGTGTCACGGATCAAGTGACAGCTTTAGACAAACCCTGCCCTAGGCTCAGATTTTTGGCAGCAGCTCTGCTTAGGTGACCTGCACCTCAATCCCTCTGGCTCACAAGATCTTGAGGCTGGCTGATTAGGGCTATTATAAAATGTGTTATTTATTGAACAGACAGGAGGGAACAGACAAAAGGCCTTGAACAGTTACTACACAGTACAAAACAAGAGAACTACTGAGAAGTTACATAAAACACTGCACGACATTAAGGTTATTGCTATATATTAAATATATATTGCTATGTATTATTGTTATATATATAAAATCTAGCAAAGACACAGTAGAGAACAGGAGTCAGTGGAACTTACCACCCAGAGAGTACACAGCGTCCTTCCACTCAGCCCTTGAGAGAGTAACCACAAAATTGATGCCCCAACTCTGGGAAAAAACCCCACAAATTTCTAGGGAACGTGCAGAAGACTTTTGCTTTGTGAAAGTTTGGTGTATCTTTTACAGTTTCTCAAGTGGAGTGTCTGTCAGTCAAAAATTCCAGCTGATCTTTCCAGAGTCTTGCTTCCACAGCAAGATGTTTATTGTCAGCTTGTAGTGTCACTTCCCCAGCTCCTGAATAACCATGAGACAGGCTGTCTTCAGTGAGTTATTTCATCAGATTTTAAGCTTTTGTGAAGGGCAAGAAGCCTTGCACCAGCTAACAAACAAAGGTAAGTGCTTTCCCTCTTTGGATTTAAACGAAGACATTTACTGGAAAAAAATTATTAGCAAGAGTGATAAAGGGAAGGGGCTGAGATTTTGTAGTTCTGTTGGGGTTACGTCAGGAGGGGCAGCTCTGATTTCTGCTCTCTGTACAGGGACAGGGAGGGTCAGGCCGGAGGTCAGGAAAGGTTCTTACCCTGAGGGGTGAACCTGAGCGTAGAAATGGAAACTATTTAATGACTGTCTCTGCCTTTAAAATCTATGGATTTAACTCTGAATTACGTCCATCCATCCCCCATCCTCTGGCAGAGGACATGTCCATACTTCCTCCTCCCAAATTCAGCACCTGCCAGGAGCCCATTGATACCCACCACCACCACAACAGAAACTCACCTCACCTCAGCCAGAAGCCTTCAAAACACTTTGAATTATCCCCCCCCCCCCCCCCATTTTAAGAAAATAAATAAGGGGAAATTTTTAACCAGATCAACTACTTTTTATTTCAGAGGAAAGATTTGCATTATTTACTTTTGTTTATATACATGTACTTCACATTTGTATTTAAAATGCACAGACCTCCCAAGAATTTTCTCGTTCCGGCTTTAAATTAGCTGTTATTTTACAATACAAAAAATTATACCAAAAAACTGCAATCCTAAATGTGTGTATGTATAACACCCACAACCCCAGCAATGAAATAGTTTACAATACTTGCTCCTATTTACATATGAATGCAATAAATGCTAAATTATACATATTAACAAACTAAGCTCAAGTCTGAACACAGATAAGAATCATAAATAATTACAGAACAAAGAGGGGAAAAATTCAGAATACAATTAATTCAAGGATCTTAGTTTAAAGAACATTAATTGTGCACAAATTCCAGAGTAATATAAAATTCTTTTTTTTTCTTCTTTTTTTTTTTTTAATGGACTGACATGTGATACACTCTGAGACAATTGGGGTTTTTTTTTCTTTTTTTCTACTGGTGAGGCTTGTGGAATCAATACTAAATGGAGAGGAAATGTGTAAAGAATTCTAGTACCTGGAAGACGCACACAAATAGTCTGTGTGAACAAAGAAACAGACTGAACAAAACCTGCCCTGATGTAGAAAAAATCAGCAGATACACATATTGTAGTAGTCCTGGCACGGAAACTCAGCTCGCTTCAGCAGCTACCAACAGAGCAAGCAGGAATCTGTGTAACACTGCGAAGAACACAGCCAGAAATGAGGAGCGCAGCGAGCCATCCCTCCCTGCCCTCTGCAGCCCCAGCACTCGAGCACAGCCCCCCAAGCCCGTCCCCCTCCTGCAGGGCCCTGCCAAGGCAGCCCCTGCTCCTTCCCCTTGCTCCCTCTGGGTGTGCCCAGGGGGAGCAGCCCCGGCGGGCAGAGCGGCCGCAGCTCCCGGGGCTGGCGCAGGGGCCAGGGCTGCTCTGGACACAGAGCCTGCCCCTCGCTCTCTCACAGCGCAGAAAACCAACCCCGCTCTCCTGGGAAGGGGCTGAGGCTCCACGCTGCAGCTGCTGCTGCCCCCAGCTCAGGGTCCCATGAGAAGGAAAAGCAGTGGGAAGACCCAGAGCAGCCAAGGGCCAGCCCAGCCCCATGGCCCTGAACCCCAGGGGCCGTGGAAGAGGCCCAGAGCCGGATTTCAGCCTCAAAGCTCCTTTCAGCTCATGCAGGGCCAGGCAAGCCGAGTGCCCTCTGCAGCCACCCCACAAAGCCAAGCCTGGGGAGCCTGGTCAGGGCTCCTGCAGGGAATTCTGCTCCTGGCACCCTTCAGGACACAAGCTGCCCCTCAGGAGTGCGCTCTGCCAGCAGAGCTGCCACGTCCATGGTACCACACCACCCAGTTTGGGATATTACATGCCATGGCTTGATGCGAGTCGCAGGCATTGCCCCATCATAAATAGCTTTATTTTGGTAATTTCACTACAATGTGTTTCAAGCCCAGGAAAAGTGGTAATAACAACTGAAAAGTTGTGTCTTATGAATATTCTTGTATCCAAAATATTGAGCCAGAGCATGGCAAGGTCATGCTACATCACCCCAGAGAAAATTCTGAGCTAAAAACCATGGAAAATGGTGAATTAAAAAAAAAAATTAGTTATTTGGAGATCCACTGGCACCATTTTTTTCTCAAGCAAAAGGGCCCCAACAGCTCTGAAATTTCATTACTAATTTCTTTAAAGGCTCCTCTCAGAGAATGAAAATCTTCTGAGGGTTGAAATGTCAAATGCTGAATTTCAGCTAGTTATAAACACCTGAAAATAGTGATTTTGAGTGGAAACACTGCCACAATTTTAGTAACAAAGGCCTTAAACGACTGATTTAATCCTCCACATGGTGACCACTTTAAGGACATTTATTACTTGTATCCAACTGTTGCTTTTCCCCCTTTCAAATGGAAAAGCCATTATTTAACTTGGTTTCTACATGTAAGTGAAATACATTTGAACACACAGAAGTCAAGTTATGCCTCCCTGCTTTGCAAGATATCACTATATAGTCTGGTGTTTAAAGCTCTGGAGTTATCTGCTACTGATCAGATGAAGGAGTTATTAAGACAAAACTCATACATAATTTTAAATCATCAAAAATACATTCAATATTTTTTCTGGTTTATATACACTTTAAATCTCTCCATGTTCTGCACGTTACTGTAGAGTTTATGTACAAGTGCAAAATCTGTGTGTCATTTGTCATTTCTTTACAAATTCTCCCATGAAATAAGGTTGTTCTTTCTCTCCCACCTCACCTCCAAATGAAACAAACCCAAAAGTCCTTCACTTTTGATACTGGCCTGATGATAAGCTGCCAGCAATTCCTCTTTCCCCTATCCTTTCCCATGTTTCTCCCTGCTTACCTCTAAGCTGGGATGAAACTGCAGTGGAGCTATGTATGAGAATTCTCTTCTCCTTCATCAGGATGGAGATCAGATGCAGGCTAGAGCCACATCCTAAAAGAGCCAGTTCCTTTTAGTAACATAAGTAACTCTTATTGCTCTATTTACATTTCTTGGTTCTGATAAACCTTGACTTTGATCATTTCTGCTCATTTTTTCAGAATCTGACACCTCATTTTGGCCACACTCCTGGCACACTGTAGGCTTTGCAGACCAGACAGCCCAGCTCTCCAGGAGTAAGAAAACATCCCAAACTCTGTATTTATGTCTTTTTATTAATGTAAAAATGTATCACCCCTCCAGGCCTACAGTTCTGAAAGCTGTTTGTGATCAGGAAAACCCAATAACTTTAAGCACCTGCCAAGAGCTGTCCTGAAGAGGGAAACTCAAGCACAGGGGCTTTCACCATCCGAGCTGGCAACTCTCCCCACGAAAACAGCAAGAAGAAATCTGCAAACATCAGGATGTGCATCGTGGCTGAAAATACACAGTACCAGGGGAGGGATTTTAGTCCAGTCTTATTTCTCCAGTTCAGATTAACCCTATCACTGAGCAAGCTAGAAAATATTATCAGGAGATGAATCTGTCTGAGGTAATCCGTGCATCAGGTAAAACTTAAATTGCCTAAATCCCTTTGTTCTAAGACAAATCTCAACCCTTTTCCGATCCTAATTCCTTCTTCCCACATAACACTGTAACTTCTACTTTAGAAACAGATGCATTTATATATATTTATATATATAATGCATTTTTCCCAATATTTTTATGCAGTCCCAATATTTTTTTGCAGTCCCATTACATGTGTTAAATGAATGAACATTAAATCAGAATTATCATCCACCACAGTCCTTAAGCCATCAGGCTCTTCCCATCACCACTGTCTGGACACACACACAGCAATTCAGCTCTTGACTGCAATGCTGCCCTGCTCCAAAGAGCTTCTTCTAAGTACATGGTTAGGAAAAAGGCATGGCTGGTATGTGACCGATTACCAGAATACGCACAAAAAAAGGAGCAGTTATTTGGGTTTCAATTTGGAAAGCTGCTGCCTGGCCAGATCCAAGAGCACTTCCCTTCCACGTGCTACTTCTCCATTTGTTAAATATCAGATGTCCCCAGCAGAAGCAGCAGCTCAGTGAGCTGCTGGATCACGACTGCTGTGGTGAGCCGTAGGTACACACCTCCTCTGGCACCTCCACCACCACCTGCCCCCACTGCAGCCCCACCAGGCCCCGTGCCACATTCCCAGCTCCAGGGACACGCAACACCACCACACGCAGATGGGTGGGCTCAGTCCAGCCTTGAGCCTCAGAGCACAGTCCGAGCTTGTCTGAGCAGTTCAGATGGTTTCATGCACCCCCAAACACCAAACCTTCTCTCTGCTGTTTGCAAGACTCATCCTTTCACCAACCAGCAACTTCTTCAACCTCCAACAGAGCTCAAAACCAACAGGAAATATCAGGATATGATAATGTAGAACTCAAACCTGTGGCAAAACAAAGCTGCTCTGTTTGATTTTTATTTAAAACTCTTTTTACGTCATCCTCACGTGATCTGGCACCCGGAGTGTTGCTTTTTACACCCTGTAAGAAGATGGAGCAAACCATAACCACTGAGGAGCAATGACTCCAAGCTCAGCTCTCATCCAGAAGAATGGCAGGAGGGAAGGGGGAGGAAAGAGGCCAAAATCAGGAAAATGTGATGTGTCTAACATGGAACACAGACTGCTTCTATGAAAATGCTGGTGAAACCAGCAGTTTTCTTATGGGATACTGAAACTCTGCCTGTCTTCCAGATATTTGCACCTGGGTGAGTATTTGGTTGGTCAGGAAAATGTGATTTTCCTCTGATTGCACAGTCAGAGGACACAGAGGGCCTTGGGTGACTCTAGATGTGAGCATACATACCTTTAAAGGAATTTAATTATGTGGAAAAGCAGCGTGTGTAGCAGTCTCCTCACTCCCTAGATCTGTTCACATCTAGGCACTTGTGTGTGGTGTACTCCAAGCAGGTTAAGACTATGTAAACACTGAGTCTTTCCAAAGCAACATCCAACTTTCCAGTTATTTCATGTGGTCTGAGCAACATCAACCTCTAAACCATCCCAGCTTTTGCATTCCTGGACCATGATGACACAAAAAGGCTGAGCCTGGAAGAGAGTTCCACTGAAATAATGAGGGAACAATTAAATATTAAAAGAAAACAAAGAATAAAGATGCTTTGAAGATTAATAGTAGTGTTTATGTGTTGAGAGCTGACACCTGTAAACACTGGATGTTTTTCTTTTTGTACAGTTTGATAAATACATGAACTACAAAAGCACTTTCCATGTAGAAACCTGAGTGTCATTCATTGGACTACTGTTGTATTTACACTGACCGGGAATGATGGTGTCGGACCTCACCGCACCTGCAAGAAAATCATTTTGCTTTAAACTTGAAGAAAACAAGGAGCAATCTGAAGCCATGTGTCAGTAAAACTTAAGTGGAGCAGTTGTCAAATAAAGCCAACTAGCACGTAGATGAGAGAAAAAAACTGGATTCAAGGAAGTTGTGGTTTTTTCCGGGTGCTTCTAGTCTCTTGGGACACAACTTGGAAATCTTCCTCCTCCTTGGTATTACTTTTCCATTTTGTTTAAAACCCTAGACAGTTTCTGATGTCCATGCATCAAATACAGGTTCCTGGCTGTGCAGGGGGCTGCTGCTTCCGATTTCGGACGGTGCCTGATTTCTCTTTGTAGGCAATTGGCATCTGTTGTGAAATGTCCACCAGTGCACTGGCCACTGCAAGACCTGGGCAACAGAACCAACAGTCAGGTACCAGAACAGCTACAGCAGCAAACCTTCAGAAAGAGCTGAGAAAACCCCTCCGGGCCACAAATTGTGTAGAATTTTTTAATAAACTAGAAAAGTGTTGTGGCCCAAGGATTAAACTCCAGGCTCTGAAAGGAGCTGAAATACTGCGTGTTTAATTAGAAGCAACAGCAGGAGGAAAAGATGCAATAAGGGCGGGTATTACTGGATGTAAAACTCTCAACATTGAAGCCTGAACCATTAATATTGAAGGTGCCTTTCTCTGCTTTAGTAGATAGACTAAAATAAGCCTGAAAGCAAATGTGTGTGGCGGTTTCACTGCCCTTCCCGTGGATAAATCACCTCTGCAACCTCCTCATGGCAGATGAGGGAGTCTTGGAATGGTCTGGGTTGAAAGGCACCCCAAAGCCTGTCCAGGTTCCACTCCCTGCCATGGGCAGGGACACCTTCCACTGTCCCGGGGTGCTCCAAGCCCTGTCCAACCTGACCTGGAAAATTCTAGAGATGGGGCAGCCACAGCTGCTCTGGGCACCCCATGCCAGGGCCTCCCTGCTCTGTTTGCAGACAAACCACATCCGGGACTTAGCTCAATCCAGCTCAGCACCAAACCATCCAATTCTAACCCTGCTAACTCTCTTTCTAAAGTCTTTGCTTCACCAAGCTCACTGGGCACTGGAGAACCCCAGTTAAATCCCACACTGCCCAGGAAATGATGTCCCAGTGCCCTGAGACCAGGTTTAGATGGGAAGGGGTGGAGAACAAGGAAATCTTAAGCTGGATGGGGCAAAGCTCTTTGTCCAGGGCTCCTAAGAGGAGGTCAGAGATGCTCTGAAAGGACCTGTAGTGACAGGACAAGGGGGAATGGTTTCAAACTGACAGTGGGCAGGGTTAGATGGGATATTCTTCCCTGTGAGGGGGGGAGGCCCTGGCACACCTAACTCTGTGGCTGCTCCATCCCTGGAAGTGTCCAAGGCCAGGCTGGATGGGTCTTGCAGCAACCTGGGATAGTGGAAGGTGTCCCTGCCCACGGCAACAGATGAAACTGGATGGGCTTTAAGGTCCCTTCAAACTCAAATCTTTCCACGGTTCTATGACTTGATGTTCCCCTGCAAATGGAGCTGGGAACAAAGTCAGATAGGCCAAGTGACAAGTTACCTTCACAGGTAACTACTGCAAACATGCCTGTGCCAGATCCCTCCTTCCCCCACCCAGCTGTTAATTAAAGCATAGTCCAATATCAAAAGTTCATCCATCAATTGACATTAGTAATTAACTCAAAACTCCAGTTGGAAGCCAGCAGGGCCCAGACCAGGGAGCCTAAAATACCTCGAGCACATCCCAAGCTGAACTGTGGCTACAGCAGCTTCTGTGGGATCAGGAAAGGTGAGCCTGTAAGGCCGGGGAAAGAGTACAGAGTTAATTCCAAGCCATCAGAGACCACAGCAATCCTCACCTGACTGTCCTGGTGGTGGAATACCCCCAAGTCCTCGAGGCAGCCTCACAAACACAGAGAGAACAGCTGCTTTGTTCCCAAAGCAGGGCTCCAGCGCGATCGGCTTTGGTACAGTCTGCATCGAGGCAAGCAGTGGGAGAAAACAAATGTTAAACAGCATGTCACACCCTCCCTCTTCCCCCAGCATCGCTCCTCCAAGCCCCAGGGCATGAACCGCCATGAACCACACTGCTGTGCTGGGCAGACTTCCAGCACACAGCCAGCAAAGCTAAAACCACTGTCAGCAACAATCAAAACACGAGTCATCACGAGAAAACACATTCACTTAATAAAAATCAGGCTATTAAAAAGTCAAGCACTACACAAGGCTTGTATTTCTCCCTAAATTCAATAACAAAGGAGCAGCTTATGTAATCAACAGGACTGAGGGTTTTGTTCCATCGACCTCATCAGCAGCTGTCACTGATATCAGCATGGCAATTCGATACTCCAAATTCTATTTCCAGAATTTAAGTCCGTGTACCACCTTAACAGCACTCTATGCATTAACACAGTAAAGAACATTTTCCCAAGAGCAAAAATAAGTGTTCAAGGCCAGGCTGGATGGCGCTTGAAGCAACCTGTTATAGTGGAAGGTGACCTTGTCCATGACAAGGGGATTAGATGGGCTTTAAGGACCCTCTGAATCTGTGATTCTGATTATAATAGGCAGTCAGCTTTCTCCCTGGAGGAGCAGAGGACTGGATCCCTTGCTGACCCTCAGTGTCTGTGCCCATCTTCCTCTCCCTGCACTCTTGTGAAGGTTTTACCTGAATGATCAACACCCAGCTTCAGCGTGTCATTAGAAAGCACAAATGCAACAGCCCAGCCCAGAAACTAAAGCATGTTCTCACCTGGGCCCCCCAAGTCCAACACAAGTACACAGGATCAGTGCTACTGTGGGATGCAATAATAGATTGGGATGCAAGTGTTCACCAATGAGTACATGTTCAGGAGAGTTTCTTCTTTTGTTCCACATCAGCTAAAAAAGCTGAGAAACACTATTTTATCCAATACACTCAGTGCTTTCTGTTTTCTTGTTTGGTATGGACAAATTCCACTCTGGTGTTAATGAAATAATTAGTTCTTTTTCCATCAGGCATCCAACTACACCACAGTACTCAAATATTCAACAGAAACTCAATGCAATGTAAGCCATGAAAAAGCCCGATCAGGAGTCAAACATGCTGTTAAATTACTGCTGCTCAATAAAAAAGACAAAAGGAGACAACAGCAAGCAAAATGAAACTTAAAACTTTCCATATCTCCCATTCACTGCAATGACTGCAGCAGCGTTTGCTGGTCTGTGCCAGGTAGATAAATACATGCTGCATGATGGAAGCTGCTGCCTGGTTTATGACAGCAGATTTCTTCATTCCCCACCCCCAGCAAAGGCACCAAACTCAGAGTAAAGCTTTTCCTGAAGGGAACAAGCACACCCTGGTGCTGTATCCCAGAGACTCAACTGCCAGAGGTAATGGAGAGCATGGAGAAGGAACTGCAGGAACAGAGCCCATGGACTTCTGCCTTATGGGGGGAGCAAGAAACCAACACAAAGCTGGTTTTCTTTTGGAGAGACTCAAGTATCTTACTTATTCTACTGTTAATAAAACAGTTCAGCTGAATTCCAGAGCTTGGAGGATGGCACTTGGGTTACAGAGAGCAACCTGGCACAGTGGAAGCTGTCCCTGCCCATGGCAGACCATGGAGAGATGACCTTTAGAGTCCCTCCCGACCCATGAGGATGCTCAGCAGCATGCTCAGAATTTAGCTCATCTCTCAGCCCCTGGCAAGACCCTCTCCCCTCCTCTGCCCTTTCCAACCAATGAACCCTGCGTGTGCAGCAGAAACTCTCATTGTGAGTCCCTGTGGGCACAATCTTCCCTTTCCATGGAATTTTTATTTTGGTCCTCAAGGTCACACATCTTCCTCCTCTCTGCTCTCCTGGTTCCACACCACAGATAGCTGGGGATAGGATGTAGCCCTGAGCCTCCCTCCTTCCACTGTCAACCTGCCCAGAAAACAATCAGAATCATGGAAAGTTTTGGGTTGGAAGGGACAAAGTTCATCTCATGCCCTGCAGGGAGCAATGACAGCTCCCACTGTCCCAGGCTGCTCCAGCCTGGCCTTGGGCACTGCCAGGGATCCAGGGGCAGCCCCAGCTGCTCTGGGCACCCTGTGCCAGGGCCTGCCACCCTCCCAGGGAACAATTCCTGCCCAATATCCCATCCATCCCTGCCCTCTGGCAGTGGAAAGCCATTCCCTGTGTCCTGTCACTCCAGGCCCTTGTAAAATCTCTCTCCATCTTTCCTGGTGGGCCCTTCAGGTACTGAAAGGCTACAATTAGGTCAACCCAAAACCTTTTATTTTCCAGGCTGAACAATCCCAAAAAAGATGAGGGTTAGTAAAATATTATTAATATTTCCCTACATGGGGAACCTTATTTCTCTCAACCATGCACAGCAAGGATAATGATGCACCCAAAATCTGTCAGGCAGTTGCAAACTAATTTGGAAGGAATTAAGCACGACATCACTTTGCTGCAGCTAAGCTCCATCTTAAAACTAAAAGGGGAAAAATGGCCTATTGTCCATTAAATCCAGCTTTTCCTGAGACAAGCTGCAGTTAATAACAAAAACTCGCCTAAAGAATCAAGTCCTGCACATTTATTTTTGACAGCCCCAGTTCAGGCACCTGTTTCCTGAACTGTGATTCATTGTGCATCTCGTCTCCGAGCGCTGCTTGCTGGGCAGGAGACAGAGCAGGGAGGGAATGACTCAGAGCGAGTCAGGAATGAGGAATTTGGTATTGGAGCAGGCAGGTCAGGAGTGAGCTGAGTGACAGGCTGAGGAATTTGGAATTGGAGCAGGGAGGTCACGGGAGGGAAGGACCCGCTGCGCCCTCTGCAAGGCAGAAACAGCACTGGAGCCAGGGACCAGGTTCTGCACTCAGGGAGGAAAATGTGAGATTTCAACAGCAGCTTCATTGTGACCTGGACTGCAGAGCTGGCCCAGTACCAGCCCTGCCCTGCTTGTCACCTGATGTGACCTAGGTAGGTGCCACCAGGACACAAAGGCTCTCAGGAGGAGCTGGCTGGCTTCATCAAGTGGAATTTTGGTGGGGAGACCTCAGAAGAGCTCAGGTCTCCTTTCTTTGCCCACTCAAGTGGTTTCTGAGAGCTCTTATCATAGAATTATGGAACCCCTGGGTTGAATGGGACCCACAGGGATCGCCCAGCCCAGCCCCTGTCCCTATCCAGACCCCCAAAATCCCACCTTGGGCATCCCTGGAGTGCTGTCCAAAGGCTCCTGGAGCTCTGGCAGCCTCGGGGCCGTGCCCATTCCCTGGGGAGCCTGGGCAGTGCCAGCACCTCTGGGGGAAGAGCCTTTCCTGATCTCCACCAAAACCTCTCCTGACACAGCTCCATATCCTCTTTTGTTGCAGATTCAAGCCGTTTTCCTGCAAGAAGGTTTTGAGTGGACTTGGAAAGCAGAGATCGGATGTGAGTGATGGCTCTTAAGGGTAAACTTTAAAAGATACATAAAATAGGTGTATTTCCAAACTTTGTAACAACCTCTATCAGCTGCTTAAAACCTTCCTCTGCCAGCAACTTCCATTCAGAGGTTTTGATAAACCATTGTTGAATTATAGAAGTGATTATTTTTTACTGAAGGCTTAATGGCACAATGAAGTAGACATTATTCAAATCTATTCAAATAAGGTGCATCTCTCAGACACTTAGCACAGGAGGACTGCTTTGAGAGGTGCCTGAACAGCAGAGTCCCATCGTGGGATCAGATAGAGAGGGGAGAACAAAGCCCTGGTGCTTGAGGGGTGGGCAAAGAGCAGTCAATGGCCATGGACAGACAGCTGCAGCTGGCTGAGCCCCTGCCCTGAAGCACCTCTTGTCCTCACAGAAACATGGATAGCTGTGGCTCCAGCACACTGGACAGACAAATTTGCCGAGCTGATCTCAGAACCATGCAATGGTTTCAGTTGGAAGGGACCTTAAAATTCATCTTAAAGCCATGAGCAGAGACACCTTCCACTGTCCCAGGTGCTTCCAGCCCCAGTGTCCAGTCTGTCCTTGGGCACTGCCAGGGATCCAGGGGCAGCCACAGCTGATCTGGGAATTCCAGCCCAGCCCCTCCCCACCCTCCCAGCCAGGAATTCCTTGCCAAGATCCCAGCCCAAGCTCCCCTTTCCCAGTGGGAGCCATTCCCTGGCTCCTGTCCCTCTGTCCCTTATCCCCAGTCCCTCTCCAGCTCTCCTGGAGCCCCTCCAGGCACTCTGAGCATTCCCTGGAATTTTCCCTTCTCCAGGGGAACATTCCCAGCTCTCCCAGCCTGGCTCCAGAGCAGAGGGGCTCCAGCCCTGGAGCAGCTCTGGAGCCTCCTCTGGGCTCTCTCCAGCAGCTCCACGTCCTCCTGCTGTTGGTCCCAGGGCTGGGGCAGCTCTGAAGCTGGGCTCTCACCTGAGGGCACAGGGACAGAGCCCCCCTCCCCTGCACTGAACAACCTGAACCCTTCCCTGCAAGGGGCTTTCCTTGCTCCTCCACAGCAAAGCAACAATCAATGGACATGATGGGAAAATCCCCAAGAACTCCAAGAATCAGAAGGGTACAAATGCCAAGTAAACAGCAGAAAGCCAGCCAAGCCCTGCTAGCCTGGAATCCTGTCTGGGTGGCAGGAGGCAGCCCAGGGTGCTGTACAGGTGGTGACACAGCCCCATGTCCCCAGAGGCAGTGAAAGCTGCTGTCAGCTGGTTTCCACAGATGATTTTACTGGCCCAAACCAGCGCTAAAAGCCAAGCAATTCCTGGTGTTTCTGAGTTTTGATGTGCATTTAGCACACACAAAGTGTAAACCATTATAGACATCAAAAGCAATGAGACAGATTAGGTGATTTCATTAGTCCAGCTTCTCCAACAGGATTTTCCACATGAACAGGGCATTTCCCAGGAATTTGGGCTATTTCTAGGTGACCCAGATGTGGAATACACCACCAGTTCCCCTGGAAGTTGATTTCATAACAAATACTTTCCCCAAGTAGGCTGAATTGTGTGATGCCCAACCTA